AACATTGATGTAATATATGAACAACTAGAGCGAGTGTTTCACCGGGATATCCAAACACGAGAAAACAATGTATGAAAACACGAGCGCGAAGCGCGAGTGTTTTCATACATTGTTTTCGAGTGTTGGGATATCCCGGTGAGACACGAGCTCGAGTTGTTTATATGGCTTCTCAAATGAATCGAGACGTAACAGAATGTTTTCGTTTCCTGATTTGAATAGAATTCTTAACCAAGCATAACGTAATTAGGAATTCTATTAAAGTAATTTTGCATGCGTAATTAAGATATTTGATGAAAACACTAGTGACTTTCATCAAGTTTCACCGGGTTATCCAAATGGCATCTTGTGATCAAATAGGTGATTATCATTGGCTGAATTACTCATGAATTATTAATGAATTTGAGAATTGTTTATTTTAATTCACACGCTCTTTATATATATATATATATATATATATATATATATATATATATATATATATATATATATATATATATATATATATATATATATATATATATAAATTAAGGTACAACAATCAACAAAACCCACTAGGCATCTTTATTACTAAATAGTTTCGTACCACAAAATGTGGCACTCTTCAGATAAATTGATTAGGTCAATTTATCTGAAGAGTGCCACATTTTGTGGTACGAAACTATTTAGTAATAAAGATGCCTAGTGGATTTTGTTGATTGTTGTACCTTAATTTAAAGATGCGGTAAAGTCCGTTCTGCACATATATTCTGCGCATCAAAACATTCCATCAGTGGGGGAGCAACCTTTGGAATGTTGTTAATATTTCGCTCTTTCCGAACTTTCTTGAATTGAATCTCTAGTTTGTATTCATTTACAAGCATAACAAACCAGAAAAGTGTTAAAAATTCAGTATAATATATATCTAATCATATTTTACAACTGTAGCACTGAGTTCAAAATGTAAACAAAGCGTTTGTTTACATTACGGACTTTACATGGTCTTTAAATATGCTCTGGTTTCCCATTGAGCACTTTACCAAAAGTTTTTATAACCAACGAAACCAAATCTTATATATATATATATATATATATATATATATATATATATATATATATATATATATATATATATATATATATATGTTGTAAATTATTGTATTTCATCCTGTCTGAAGATGACTTTGAGATGTCTTATCTTTGAATCATATAATTATTGTATTCTCAAGATGTCTTGTCTTTTCGAAATTTGTTTTTTACTTTACTTTTTTTAATTTTGTCTGCGCTGGACATGGTTTTTGAGTTAATGAATAACTTTTGGTACTTTCATTGTATTCGCATTGACCAATCAACTCACGTTCTGAGTTGGATTCTCCCAGGGCTTCTGAGAGCAATATGCGCAGAAGCCCTGGGTACGAGGTTGCGGCAATTTACAATAGACTGGCTGTTGGCTGCTATAGGCCGTGGGATGAGCATCCAAAAGATGCTTAGAAAACGGATTCCGTTGCACCCCTCGTGGAACTACGTAATTTTCACATGAATAAATAGATAAAAACTTACTTTATCAGAATCCGTTGCTCCCCAAGTGAAACAGGTGCACAATTGGGAGAAAAATCCCTCCAAAGTTTGATATTTTCGCGCTTCGAAATATTCGAACCGCCATTATTTTGGTAGCAAATACGCATGCGCAACTCAGTCAAACTCGCACTGCGCACGCGCAGACTATAAAAATAGATTCTCACTGGGGGGTTTCCCCCATTTCCTCCGCATAAACAACAAAATAAAATCACAGAATACTGATCAAACCTTGTAATATAAATACACCCACATTAAATATTGTTAAAAACACATTGTATATTTTGCTTGCTCATATGCTAAATCACTTCAATTCATTGGCTATTGTTTCAAAATACCGTTTAATTCTACTTTATATTAACATCCTAATTCAATACAAATTTGTGTGAGGTAAAAAACCCACCTGTATCAAACAGGACGAAGAAATAAAAACTATATATACATACAATTCACACGATCAAGGAACAAATGAAATATTTCGCTAAACTTAAAGCCTTGGCCAAACGTAAGAAACAATGTCGCGGAAATATTCGTGATTTTTAATTGGCTTTTGTTGCAGACGCAAAATTTGCTTCCCAGAAAGCAAATTATTTCCTACCAAATTCAGAAGCATTTTATGAAACACTCTTTATCCGTTTGCCGACGCTGATAAGACAATATGACATACCGAAAGATTGGAAAGACAAATAATATGACAACAGTGTTTCCCAGTTCATCCCGGGCTTTAAGGGATATTTATATAAACTCGAAATTCATCATAAAAAAAGATAAATTGGGAGGAAATATAAAATCCATAATTTCATTATAGCTATCTATAATTGAAAGAAATGTTTTCATCTTTGAACCCAGATTTTCATCAGAGCAATAAAATCTCACTTATTGGATCCTGGCCAAGGGCTTGCATGCTCAAAACGAAATTGCATGTATTCTGCAATAAGCTGTCCTGGCTTTTGTCTGGTAAAGTTCTACTTCTCGTATTTGAACTATTACATGTATTATATTTATATTGTGACATAAGTTGGTATTTAGCCACTATCTAGAATAACGAACGATACATCCTGGTTTTTCTTGTCCACACTAGTTGACTTTTTCTTATAGATTTAATACTGCTGTGCATTTCACTGATAATATCTATGTGCATTACCACCATTGTTCACCTCAAATCATTAATAATTCATGAGCAAATTAGCCAACCATATTGCTTTATTTTGCTCACATGATAATACTAGATCCCTTATGAAGTATATTGATCCTGTAGTGTCCTAGAACTGGATTAAAATTAATTCAGTCCTTGAACTGGATCAAAATTAATTAAGTAGTGATTTATTCATATGGATGTCATTTCAAATCCTCCAATTCGGACTGGACTAGATTTCAAGTCCTCACATTTTGATCCAGTCCTCTGCTTCGCCTTGGACGTAATCAAATTGTGTGGACTTGAAATCTAGTCTAGTCCTGACCTCATAGTCAAATTTGAAATATTATCCCTTGTCAAATCAGATGACAATGATGGCCAAGGAAGATTCAGTTTTGGTATTTCTTGCACCTTTTGGTGAAGAATCAATGCAACATTGTATAGAATTTGTAACTTATTGACTTTAGAATTTCCCTCAGTTTCTGTGTTGGAATTCACATCATCATAATCAATGGTACAGCTCTCTTCAATCTTCATCATTGTTTTCAGACTTAGGGCCTGTTTATATGGAAGCCGGCCTGATAAGCGAGACAGCCTGGTAAGCAAGATCTTGCTGTGTAGTTATTTTTATAGTAAAAATTATTGTGCGTTTATATGGACAAGCGGGCTGGCCCGGTTGCCGAGATCTCATTTGAAAGAGGCTAGATCTCGCTTACCGGGATTGAAATTTCTCCATATAAACATTTACAAGCGGGCTATCCTGGTTGCCGGGATGAAAGTTCAAAGATACTGCCCCATTTTAATTTTAACAACTGTCAAAACAATACAATGTAACAAAATCGTCCCGGCAAGCGGGATGAAAGTTCCTCATAAACACAAGAGAAATTCATCCCGCTTACCGGGCTGTCTCACTAAGCGGGCCAGCCAGACTTCCATATAAACAGGCCTAGGCCCTTAATTGACATATGTTCCTCAACCAATTCAGAAGAATCCAAATTTTCCACATATACAATTTCACTAACATTTCTCATTTTCGGTACACAGAACACAAGTTGGGGATAACTTTTCATCATTCATTGCTTGAGTTTAAAAGCTCTATATTTAGATGCATCCACATTCTCAGTGTCCTTATAAGCAATGATAACAAATTTCTCCAGCAAATCTTTCATATAATTTATTTGCTTATTTCCGATGACCTCCATCTCAATTACTTTTTTACAGAATACATCATAAGACTTCTCGTACACTGATGCTCTCATTGCTTCCTCGTCTCTCTGGTGAGAAATATTGTATATAAATTGCAGTAGCAAACTTTGTGATAGCGGATTTCCAGAGCTACACAGTCTTTCCCCTGGATTTGCATGAGTATCTGTTGATCATTCTTTCTCTCGGCAGCTGTACGTAGAAGACCAGCATCAATTGTTTCTGCCAACATGAGTGGAGTTCTTCTCTTCTTAGTTGCCTGGTGTGAAACAAAATAAAAACAAGGTTGGATGTTTGTAGCATGGAAACTACTTTACCTTAAGTAAACTTAATTGATCACAATTCAATATATTTTAAAACCAAACCTGATGATGATAATGATGATGATAAACCTTACCTGATGATGGTTCCATTCTAAGTTAATGGTATCAGGATTCTTCTCCATGTATGAATTGACAGATCCGTCATCGATGTTCTCGTACGATTTCTTAGCTATTTCAGCTTGTTGACATTTAAGTTTGGCCCATTTTGACCTGCACTCAAGAAATTTCTTAAGCCTTTGGCGTGTAACTTTGCAAAGTTGCTCCGTAACGCCATCAAAATGCATAAAACATGAGGATATTCGAGTTTTATAAATATCTTCAGCCATGTTTATTTGCATAACTGAGCGTGTTTCCACTTCGAAGCATGTGCGCAACCTCGTACCCAGGGCTAGTCGCGAATTGAAGGTGTCGCCGCCTTCAATTCGCGACTAGCCCTGGGTACGAGGTTGGCATGTGCGTTGGTTGTGCGCGTGCGCAGTGCGAGTTTGGGTGAGTTGCGCATGCGTATTTGCTATCAAAACAATGGCGGTTCGAATATTTCGAAGCGCGAAAATATCAAACTTTGGAGGGATTTTTCTCCCAATTGTGCACCTGTTTCGCTTGGGAGCAACGGATTTTGATAAAGTAAGTTTTTATCTATTTATTCATGTGAAAATTACGTAGTTACACGAGGGGTGCAACGGAATCCGTTTTCTAAGCATCTTTTGGATGCTCATCCTACGGCCTATTAGTGTTATAGTTGCACATGTACAGGGAGCCCTACCCAGAGTTCTGTCATCTGTGATGGTATATTTCCTGAAGCATGCCTATAATCAATGCAAAGTGTTTTTCTCCTTGCCCTTACTCTATTGCAACGAATACATAATTAATTTAGATGAGTTCCGTTTTTTTGTGAAACCCTGTATATACAGTACATGTTAATATACTATTCTATGTACTGTACATGTAATAATGAAGCAGTGGATGTTATTATGACCACTTTTATTATGACTGTTACTCTTTTTAATAATTTCACATTTTATTATAACAGATCCAAAAGAGCCATATAGTGTTACTCTTGAGATGCATGACCATCCCAAGGGCAGATATAAAGATAACGTGCATGTGAATGTAAGTAATTGTACTGTATGTATAACTTACACAAGGTGCGTTGGTATGCGAATTACCGCACCCTGCGTGTTTACATATAAATTACAGAGGGTGGACAAAAAAAGTAGCTCGCATAAAAAATGGTATATCCTGTTCTTCTGCCACAATAAGTAAAGAAAGTCCTAACAAAAGTTATGTTTTTGAACTTACTTATTTAGTTTTGTGTGTGTGTGAATAAAATTTGTGATTTCAAGTCAAGGATTAGAAAAATAGATACGTTTACAGAGTTTTTACTCAAAATTAAAAATGGCGGATTTGAATCAGAAATGTACGTATATCGTTGGATGATATCTATATCATGC